TTGATTGGTTAATTATCACGGGTGATCACATGTAGATCCATAAAAATTAGCCAATCATATGAATTTCTTCCTATGAGGTAAAATGTGCATATAAATCAGGTGACGCGACCAATTATTTATCACTATCGTTATCGTTATCATATCGGTATGTTCGTACAAAATTTATATATATACTCTAAAGCACCTGTATTGATATAGTAATGGCTACATTCGCTACTGATAAAGATCTTAATGCTGGTACTTCACAAGATGTCCATTTGGGTGTGAGCAGTTTCTCCGCCATTGCTTGTGTTGAGGACCGGGACGTAACATTAGCAACGGCTACAACCGAGATTTTTGGTCGCTTTCAGTTTTTGAAGGTATGTTTTCGAAAGCATACTAACATACACTCTAAACAACGCTTTTCAATGATGTGAAAAGATTATACTGACGATAAAGTACTTTTAAGACGCTTTTACATCCGAATATTTGTGAATATGTAGAAATAGTTAAAGGAAAACATGGTAATTCGATAAAATTTATATACATTAATTTCAATTTTCATAAATGGGTTTTTAGACAAACGAATTGAATTGCAATTTAAATTAGACCGTCTGTTTGTTATATTCGAATATCATATGAACCATGTTGGTAAATTATATCACCGTGATGAGGAGGGTATCATGAATGTAACGAGGTAATAGATTATTAGAAAACAATTTATATATATCAATAATTCTCAGAACGGTTGATCGAAGCAAGAAGCAAAGAAAAAAAAAAGGACCAATAATTGTCAAAATAAATATTGGTGTTTTATTTGATCAATCAGATTTTTGATAGATCTGCAGTAATATTCAATGTGAAGATTTCTGGTGCTTGCTTGCCTTGTTCATGCCTTCTTAATGGTTTTTTTTTTTTTTTTATATATCACAGATTCGTATTGACTTGGTTTTTGAAAATTTAAAGTGTAGGGGATAGTATGATCCGTGAATGGGCATTTCAGATCCTGAAAGCGCTAGCATATTTAAATAAAAACAATGTTACGCATCATAATTTGGCACCGAATAATATTTTATTGGATTCTCAGGTAAATGAATAGATATAATCGTCTTGGCTTTGATAGATTGTTTTCTGGAAACGTTTATAATACTCTTTAGGGTAGAGTGAAATTAGCAGACTATGGACTATATTTTATGACTAAAGGTGGTGCTAATGTTGACTTCCCGATTGGGTGGGTATTATACAGTTATGCTGCATTTGCAATGAAATATAATTTTAATTTTTTGTGAATTGCGAAAGCTATCCTCATTATATTCCACCAGAAGCAATTTATCGCTCAGGTGACATGACTGAAACTACCGGAAAGGTATATATATTTATTATGTTTATTTATTATTATTCTTTATTATTATTCTTTTAAAGAATGTTAAATTTTTGTTATTCTTTTTTTAAGGTTGATGTATGGTCGTTAGGAGTGATATTGGTAGAACTTGCTACTGGTTCTCCATTTTGGGAAGGTAATGATAAAGACATTAGTAGGATTTTTTCTTCATTATGGAAACTCCAATCCATTGCAGAAGAAGAAGAGGAAGAAGAACTGTGGGATCGGTTTGCTGTTTTCCAACTTGGGATAAGTGAGCAAATATTGGAATTTCTCCAGGGAAATGATGATGAGAATGTGGAATTTCGAAAGCTTGTCAGAGCGTGCCTGGAAGTAAATCCTTCTAATAGATGTTCACCAGAACAGTTATTATCACATCCATATTTTTCATCAATATATGAGAGTAAGGATGGTATTAATGATAACTATAAATATTGGTGGATCAAGCCGTTCTTACAATCACAAAGGTTAAAAGTGGGAGACGACTTTTTGGAGCATCTAGATGAGCCACACAATAAAGATGTTCTCGATGGAATGCCATTATCGCAGATTTATTATTTTTGGAAACTAGCAGGAGGTGATGTAGAATCGGAATTAGCTAAAAGAGGTTATATGTCAAGTACACCACCAATAGAAAGGATTCCTAGGACCGTAAAGGTATTGGATGGAAAGGAAGAAGGTACGACAAAAGACACAGCCTTCTTGTATTCTGATACTGTGTACAGTTTATCGCTTAAAGAACTTCGACAGAGATTAAAATCAGCTGCTGGACCCAACAAGGAAACAATCGAATGGGATTCAGACTATTTCCTTGTTATAGACGAAAATGACATGAATTTTCTTGCTGATGAAATGTCGGATGTTGAAAATTCAGGTCCTAAAGATGAATCACTTGAGGAATTACTTGGGAAATATCTCTACCCGGATCCCAACAATAATAAACCAGCTTCATCGTCAGTAAATGGGCAAAGCCCACCGCCATCAAATAGTGTTAAATCACCATTACTTGCACGGGAAAAAGACGTTGTATATCAGTTCCAAAGGGTAGCCCTTTTTAGTGAATTGCTTCGACAATATCCAGCATCCCGTGATGAGATAATTCATCAAGCAAAAGTAGATATACCACCTTTTTTGCGCGGAAAAATTTGGGCCGCTATATTGGGTATTAATGGCGATTATCAAGCTTCATATGATGCTTATGATAAAGAAACAGAGAAAGAGACTCAAACCGATCGGCAGGTTAACTTTTATTTATTTATTTTTTTTGTTTGTTTGTTTGCAGCAATGACTTTAGATATTAAATCTGCATTATATAATAATGCTTATACATTCCTTAGATTGATGTCGGTAATGTGTTTGAAATTCTTCGATATATATTTGGATTCATAAAATCTAATCAGTTTAATCTGGATCGAAATAATTTTTTTCAGACGTTCCAAGATGTCACCAGTATCATCAACTACTTTCTTCTCCTGTTGGGCATGAAAAACTGAAAAGACTTTTGAAATGTTTTGTAGCTGCAAATAAAAAAAATTTGGTTTATTGGCAAGGTATTCAAATTGACTTTATTATTTAATTTTGTGAACTCATAATTAATATTTTTCATTTTTCATAGGACTTGATTCTCTGTGTGCGCCTTTCTTAACTCTTAATTTTAATGATGAAGCTCTGGCATTCAGCTGCTATCATACGTTTATTCCTAAGTTTATGAAAGATTTCTTTATATCTGATAACTCATCTGTTATCCGAGAATATCTTGCAGTCTTTCGTCATCTTTTATCATTTCATGATCCGGAACTATCTAGACACTTCAACAAGATTGGATATAAACCCGATTTATATGCTGTTCCATGGTTTTTAACATTGTTCACACGTAAGTTCTTATAATAATATCATTGCCTTATTATTTATCATTTCATATTACCATAATTTCTTATAAAATTTATTTGATCAGATGTGTTTCCGCTCGATAAAACCTATCATCTATGGGATAAAGTTATTGTTGGGCCGCCATCATTACCACTATTCACAGGTGTTTCGATTATAAGACAATTTCGTGATACACTCATCAAGTCAGATTTTAATGAATGTTTAATGGTTGGCGATTCATTCCCGAATGTTGATATTGAAAAGTGCGTTCAATCAGCATTATCAATGTATAAAGTTACACCTCCTTCAGTGATACATCGTGAACACGAATCGGATGAAGAAGCTCACGAAAATCAAGTATATATAGTTATTAACATCTTTCTTTAAAATGATATTTTCATATTTATATATAAAATTTTTTTTATTTTATTACATGATTTTTAAAGCATGATCAAAAACGCGATCAACGCTGGTGGGAACAGCCTACACCTATCGAAGTAAAAGAAGCCGAATTGGCACCTAGAATATCACTTAAGGATTTAGTTAAACTAAAAAATTACGTTTTAGTAATTGATACGAGAACTGAACAGGAGTACGTATTAATTAATTGTTGTTATTTATGACAATTGATTTTGTAACTAAAGCATTAATCTTTTTTATTTATAGATTTGGAAGAGGTCATTTTCCATTATCAATTAATATGAATCCAGCGCATCTAGAACAATTGTCACAAACATTGTGGCAAGAAAGAAAGAAGTACCATGTTGTAGTTGGAGTAGTTGGAATACGTGGAGGATCAGGGACGCAGGTTCGCATATCTATTTTATAATTCAAAAATATTAACGATTGTCATAAGTTTTTTTTTTTTTTTTTAAACCAAATTTTTTCGTTTTCAAGTTTGCCAGTGATTTAGTCGAGGCAGGTTTTCCTCGTGTTGCTGTACTAAACGGCGGTATAGACGTGATGCGCGTGGACGCAGCAGGAGTTGTAGTATGCGCTTGTGCTTGCACACCGATAAAGCCACCAGGGGTTAAAGGAACTGTTGTTTATTGGAAATGTACACAAAACTTAATGAATTGATGATAACAGCTAAAGGCATAAGCATGGTTTATATTTGTGTAAATTCTTGTATGAATATCTTTTAAATATATAAATATACAAATTTTGGGCAAAAAAAACATTACATGTATAATATTATAAGATATACTAACGGTTTCTTTTTCAAGATTTATTGTTTTACAACAGAAAACTTTTACGTTAGAAGTGGAATATAATTATTAAGATTCTTTGCTATTGGCTTTGGTATGTTTCTTAATAATCTTTCATATATATGAAGCTTGGGACAATAGTTGGGTTGAAGATTATGAATAGATGAGATAAAACTCGTAAAATAACTTGTGTGATTAGAATAAACCTAGAAAGCGAAGCACATATATGTTACCTAATTGCATGTATAAATATATTAGTTTTAATTTTCTTAAACTCGACAATTTGAGCCATTACGAAGTTTATGATATTATTGATCGTGTGATTACCGAAATTCTGATAATTTTGATCAGGAATTACTAACGCCAAGGATATGAATAGGAAGTGAATTTTAATAAGACAAGCATACGCTAGGAAACGGATTATAACATTACAATATTAATCCAAACAGTTAAGAGCCTTCTTTGATCAAGAATTCTAATGTCAATTTCAATGCTTTCAATGCCAATTCAGATTACAAGAATTCATATTGTAGCCAAAAAATATTTATCTGCTAAACATTCAACGAGATAAGTTAACAAAATATAAGATTGTCGAAAATGATTTTACATTAAATTAAATTTTGTTCTTGTTTAATTGACCATTTTAGTATTTTTATTTAAAATTCATTTAAAGCTAAAAACAGAGTTTGTCCTTCGTGTAGTAAAGTATTATCATACATATACGCGTACTTAATGCTCGCCACTGATTTTTTTAAGTTCGTAAATTCATTACCTTTCAAAAACTCGACTAGACCTTCTGTATCGCTTCTTTTTAATACGGTACCCAGTTAACTTTTATCCAAAAAGTTATAACCTTTAACAAGATCGAATACTTATACACCATAATACAATTTTAATTGATTTTTTATTGTTTTATTTTTTTACACTTTACATTTTTTTATTAAATGAAAATAACTAAAAAATCTATCTATATTAACAAAAAAAAAAAAAACTTTTTAAAAAAATAATAATGCTTCAAAGACTTTCGACACTAATTAATAATAAAAAAATTGTTAATAATAATAAGTAAATATTTTTAATTTTCAGTATACAAAGTTTCCTTTACGAAATAAGAATCTCTCCTTTTTGCAGAAATAGTATATCTTATTTCAGAAACACATCAAACTACCGATTATGTGTTAGGACCAACCTTCTTGATAACCACTTCCTCCAGAGTCCTACCTGGTGGCCCCCAAAACCTCGACTAAGTGTAAATTACACCTAGCCACCCCTTCGCTTAGAAACATTTTCAGAAATAACACTATCTTGATGGTCGTGGTTTCTTATGAAAATGTTCACATTCACACAGGCAGGATTGTTCCGTCCATATTATCCGTCCAGTTGGTTTCTAACAATAAAAAGGTGCCTGACGGATTTACAACTTCGAAATAAAAATACTTTATTTCTAAAGCACCAAAAACGATGAAGCCTGGAATCTACGTTGTATACATTGAGCGATCTAATATAGTGTTTTTCAAAAAATAAAAACTATCTAAAAAAATATGTTGTATATATAATAAAGAAAAGGATAAAGAGTGAACAGTAAAAATATAAAAAAAAAATAACAAAATCTACTTTTTTTCGTGTTTTTGTGTTTATTTCAAAAAAAAAAATATGACAATTTATTTACACTAAACACTAAAGTAGAGGTTGGAACCGGTTTTAATAATTCGGGTTTATCACATGAATTTTGTGATATTTTAGAATTTAATCCAATTAAAATTTAATAAATTCTAAAATATCACAAAATTCACGTGATAAACCCGAATTATTAAAACCGGTTCCAACCTCTACACTAAAGTACAAAGATACTAGCTAGAGCATAGTGTTTTGATTATGATTGGTGACGATCTTTTATTTATACAGTCAATTGTAATTTTTAAAATACCTTTATTAGTAAACAAGGTAAACCGTCGCGCAAATCTAGTGAGTCTTGTGTTAGGGTAATAAGGATTAAGGCAATATTGAAGGTGGATTTATACAAATATGATGAGTATTGTTAATATGATAGGGTGAAAATGGATATTCGGAAATTGTTTCTTTATTGATGGTGATAAATATTTTAAATAGTAATTAATAGATTCGTATCAATAATGCAAACATTTTTGAGGTCTGTAAGTAGGAGAAATAATACGTAAAGTCACGTTATATGATTGTGAGTAATATAAGGTATCTGGTATGGTGTATGTAGAATTACGTAATGATCTGCATTGTATTTTTTGGCCTAGAGTTTAAAACCGGTTTTATTTTTGATATGTTAAAACCGGTTTTAATCGATTTTATCATATGAAAAAAAACTTTATTTCGGCTTTATGGTTAGTAAGTTAAATTTTTTTTCGAATAGGCAGAGAAAGCAAGATGTTTGATTTTTGAGAAGATAGGGTGTCTAAGTGGCTAAAATTTATGGGTTTGGTATAGATATGTTTATGATAAAGGTACAGGTAATGTTTAGGATTATAGTTGGTTGTGGAAGTAAGGAAAAAAAATAG